ACCTGTCATTTTGGCTTATAATCATTTTGCCTACATGTCCACGTTAGAGAAACAAGGCTGGTGTGGGAATATCCTTTTTGGGTCAACTTCTGTTGGTAAAAGAACGTAAGAATGGCCACACGGAGTCTGACCAAAGGTCCATCTAGCCCAGTGTCCTGTCTGCCCACATTGGCCAATGCCAGGTGCCCCAGGGGGAATGAAGAGAACAGGGAATCAGTAAGTGATCCATCCCTTGTTGCTCATTTCCAGCTGTGATGAAATGTGGATTGTTATGTTGCATGCGTTTTCTACTCTCTTGTGTGTGCCTCAGTTTCCCTGGACACTGCACCGATACCTAGATGGGGATGGGAGTTTCAGTGTGCTAGCCTCCCCCACATACACAATGGCTGATGCCCTTCGTAACTTGAGCCTGGGAGCAGGTGTAACCAGGGGACATCTTCTGCAGAGAAGCAAGACAAAGGCCGGAGGAGTCCTGTCTGGGGCCTGAGACCAGGAGCTGGCAGTGAGTCAGTCTCAGCTGACTTGAGGAGGCAGGGGCAGGGCCAGAACCCTGGGTCTGTGCCCCCTCCCTCCCAAAAATGGATGGTACTGACTGCTTCAAGTCTGTTCTGTGCTGGTCCCTGTGGACTAGTAAACCTTCTGTTCTACCTGCCGCCCGAGAGTCACGTCTGACTGCAGATGGGGGGCGTGCAGGGCCCGGTGACTCCCCCGTTCCTTCGGTGACACCAAACATACAAGCTTTCGTGCTTTCACAGAGCTCACTTCAGTTCTGTGATCCAAAGCTTGTCTGTGCTCCAACAGACGTGAAGGGAGACTTTATTGGCATGACAAGCTATGCAAATGCTGCCAACGTGTAAGGAAAATGCAGACCCTCATGTATTTGTCAGAGGCAGGTGTGACTCAATAGGAATAAGGTTATACACTGTCATCCGGTGACTGGGCCATTAGCACAGGACTGGGACACACAGGTTCAAGTGACTGTTCTGGCACAGACTTCCTATGTGACCTTGAGCAAGTCATTTAGCCTCAGTTACCTAGCTGTAAAACAGGGACAGCAACACTCCCTGAATGATGAATTCATTAAAGATTGTGAAACCCTTTGAGGCTTTTGAATGAAAAATGCTGAGAGAGAGGCAGGCATTCTTAACTTGTGTCCTTTTACCATCACTACACAAAATAAACTGCGGAGTCCCTGGCTACGCTGGAGGTTAGGGCAAAGTTAGAAATGAGCATCCGTCTTTTCCAAATGTGAATTATTTTGTAGCCTGGGTTTTTCAGACTCCATGCAGCTGTAGCAGGGAGAAGGAATCATAATGACTTCTTTATTGGGTGAAATAAAATTGATAATGCATGTCCGAGTGTGTCTGTATTGGGTAATCAGTGATGGACGAGGTGTGATCGTGTAGCTTATTGATGTCATTCAAGTAATGGCGCTATTAAAAATGACAGTTTGGGAACCATTCGTAATGTTCAAAGGGCTAAAAATCCAGAAATAGCACCCTCATCAGTGACCTTGTTTAAAGATTACGGTTCAGATCACGGGTGGGCAATAACCGGCCCATGGACCAGACATGGTTCACCAGGGTTAGACCTTGGCAGGTCACAGGCACTTTACTTCCCTGCGCCTCTGCAGGTACAGCCACTTGAAGCTCCCATTCACCATGGATCACGGCCAATAGGAGCTGCAGGGAGCAGTATTCCAGTCCATGACACACCTCGCAGCTCCCATTGGCTAGGAACAACAATCCGCAGCCAATAGGAGGTTCAAGAATCCGTACCTGTGAACTTCATCTGACTTATTGCCTGACCCTGGTCCAGATTCATCCTGAGAGCAACTTCACTGGCTTCCATGAAGTTACCCCAGGAGTGAACTTGGATCTCACACTCTGATTCGTTAAAAACGGATTTATCTTATGTACTCATGTAATTGTTTTTCTCTCTACTCAGGAAAAGACCCCAATTCCCTTCTCACAGGCAAGAAACACTTTGTCCCAGACTCGTAACCTTGCAGAACACGCGTTTAGGAAGGTATGCAGTGCAGCTGCTCTTAGGGTATGTCACCCCTTGCACCCTAGTTCGAGCTAGGGATGCAAATGCAGGCATTCAAAATAGTCAGTGAAGCGGGGTTTAAATATCCTGAGCTTCATTAGCATGCTCTCGCCAGCGCGCTAGTTCGAATCACAGTTGATTCGAACCAAGAAGTGCGCACTAGGACGCATTAGTTTGAACCAAACCCCTTGGTTCAAACTAATGCGTCCTAGTGCGCACTTCTTGGTTCGAATCAACTGTGATTCGAACTAGCGCGCTGGCGAGAGCATGCTAATGAAGCTCAGGATATTTAAACCCCGCTTCACTGACTATTTTGAATGCCTGCATTTGCATCCCTAGCTCGAACTAGGGTGCAAGTGTAGACATACCCTTACAGATCACCATGTCATTCCCACTCTATGCTTTTTCACCCAATTCCTTACCATCCTTTCCCAGGCCACAGCCTGGCTGTCTCTGGAGTTTTCGCTCTCGTCTGTAGGAAGCGGGAACGGATTGTTACCAGAAAGGACAAACTCCAGCAAGAGAAGCCATCGCTAAAGTGACATCTGTTTCTGGACCCGCTCTGATGTAAATGCTTTGGGACTCGTATAGGGACTGGTTAATTCCATCTGAATAAACAAGGCACACAACAAAGCCCTACATGTAACTGTGTAAGGAACATGCAGCCTTGGATCCAGTTCTCAGCAGTAATTATGTACCTCACTAATCACTGTTGCTGGTTAAAAGCAACATGTTTGCAGGGCTCTGGACAGCACTAAATCAGAGTGAATCAAGACAAGTATTGGTGACTGTCGGACCTTCTATGGGATGGAAAGTGACAGACAGGCTAAATAGTATTGGCATAGAATGGAGTCTCTTCTTTCATCCAAGTGCTGGACGTTTTTGGAGCAGAAAACCTGCTCCTCGTGAGGCTGCGTTTTTTGCAGTGTAGCTGGGTGACACATTCCTCTTATAGTAAAACACAGCCCGCCAAATAGGCATGAAAAATCATTTTGTCTCACAAAAGCTGGGTCTGAATTTGTTTCCAAGTAGCTGCTCACACAACTGAAATAGGAACTGAGAAGCCTAAGCCCAGAGCCTCCAGCAGGGTAAATCAGCGTAGCTCCCTTGCGGACTTACCCCGATTTACATCACTTGAGGATCTGCTCTCAGGGACGGCCTGTTTCAACAGTGCTCAGAGTGAACTTTCTTTGGTGCCCTTTAAGTCCCACTCCCCCAGCAGTGGCCGGTTGCTTAGCAGGCAGATCGGCAGCAGGGGGAATGGCAGCAGATCTGCCGTTGTCATGCTGCCTAGTTCCTGCCTCACAGCCACCTTCGTCCCTGCCCTCATTCTGGGTGGGCATGGCCCTTCGGCACCTCTTCACCAGGGGATCCCACTCGGACCACAGCTCTCTGGCTGGTCGCCCGCATCATCCACCCATAAGGCCAGGCCAGTCTGACCCATAGTCATGGAGGAGTTCAATGATGATGCATGGTGCTCCTTTCCTCTGAGTCTTCATTCAGGGAGCTGAGGAAAGGACATACCTGTGTCACACGTGCTGGAGTGACAGCACCTTCAGCCTTCAGAGGTGACAGTGAGGTTTTGTGACCCTCCAGCTTTTTCAGAAGTGGCACTGGTGGGCAAAAAAAGGTCATCTCTGCCCGTTTTTTCTGGGTCAGGACACTGGCAACAATGGGCTTACACTGCAGCAAGGGAGGTTGAGATTGGACATTAGGAAAAACTTCCTGTCAGGGTGGTGAAGCACAGGAATAAATTGCCGGGGAGGCTGTGAAATCCCCATCACTGGAGACGTTTAAGAGCGGGTTGGACAAATGTGTCAGGGGTGGTCTAGATAATATTTAGTCCTGCCATGAGTGCAGAGAACTGGACTAAAAGGCCTTGAGGATTCTTCCAGTCTTACGATTTTAACGATTCTACAAGGTGGAATGAATGCAAAGTAATAGACTTTCCAAACAAACAAATATTACTTTCTTTCATGCCCTCTCTGCGCCACTCCCCAGGGCAAAGGGAAATCAGAAGTTGTAATTTAGTAAGGTAGTTGCTTAAATCGGGAGACAGGCAGTCTTAATTGTTTAAGAGGTGATGTAAAAGTGAGCAATAGCTAATCATAGCACAGATCTATCTATCTATCCCCATACACCTCATCTAATCTATCTGTCTATCTAAACCCATACACCCTATCTATCTATCTATCTATCCCCATAGAGGGAAAAGTGCGTGTAGGGGGAGTCATCCCGGTATAATTGCCAGCCCCCGTCCTTTCTGCAGAAGATGGATGGTGAAAGCAGGAATTTCATCTACACCAGCTCCCGGAAGGCCCATTTGGCTCGCCCGGCGGCTCAGCACTCATTTTGCCCACCCTCACAGACCTTAGTCCTGCCTTTGGGCCCTACTTACCCTGAGTCATGGGCTCCCTAAGCTTCCCGAGTGTGCCGGGCAAGTCCCCCTGGATGGGCATGGGGGTTGGATTTCTTACCCCTTCCCTTCTGCTGTCACCTCGCAGGCAGCCCCCCCCCCCCTCCAAGGTGGCTGTGGGATGCTTCAGTGAGTCACTTTCAGCTGGAGGGGGGGAGCCCACGGAAGGGCGGCGGGGAGCCAGCGGGAGGGCTAGTCAATTTCCACGTGCATCCCGCGGCTGGGGGGCGGGGCCTCCGGCGTGGCGGCCCCGCCCCCTCGGTGGCTGTATACAAGGGGGGACCAGAGACCCCCCCAGCATCAGAGCCTCCCAAGTCCCAGCCGCTCTGCCCAGGCGAGCCCCCGGCTGCTCCGCGAGCCCCGGCGCCAGGCGGTCGCCCCGTCCCGGGGCAGTGCAGCGAGGGATGAGCGTGCGGCTCGCGTCCGGAGGCGCCTGGCGAGCCCTGGGCTTGCTGGGGCTGGTGCTGCTGCTGGACCCGGTGGGCGCCTGGTACAAACACGTGGCCAGCCCCCGCTACCACACGGTGGGGCGCGCCTCGGGGCTGCTCATGGGCGTCCGGCGCTCCCCGTACCTCTGGCGCCGGGAGGAGCGCGGCGAGCGGCAGCGGCAAGACCCCCGAGCGGCCGGGCCGTGGAGCCGAGCCCCGCCGACCCCCGCCAGAGGCGACCCCCTGGCGCTGGCACGCCTGGCCCTGCAGGACTTCCTCGCCCGCCGCAGGCTCGCTCCGCGCCAGCCCGCCCTGGGAACAGACGCCAGCCGCCTCCCGCAGCCACCGGCTCCCTGGAGCAGAGACCGGACCCGGCCGCAGCAGCGGGGCAGCGAGGAACGACTCAGGGACTTCAGGTAAATCTCAGCGAGTAAGTAGAAGGCTTGAGAGGGGCAGCGGCACCTGCCGAAGGAGCCCGCGGAAGGGGGGATCGCTCCAGAAGGCACAGAGAATAAGACAGAGTCTAGCTTATTGCCTCAGTAGCCCTCCATGGGACTCCCACACCGTGACTCCTGCTCGCAGGGGTGCCCGGCTCATCCCAAAATAGATCTTGGCGTTGGAAAAGGTTCGGGAGAGGGCAGCAAAAAGGATCAGGATGTTGGAACCGCTGCCCTGGGATGAGAGATTCAAAAGACTGGGGCTTTTAAGTTTAGAAAAGAGGAGAGGAAGGGGGGGGGGATAGGATCCAGGCTGGTAAAATCATGACAGGTGTGGAGAAAGTGAATAAGAAAAAGTGATCTACTTGTTCTCATAACTCAAGAGCTAAGGGGCACCAAATGAAATTAATACCTAGCAGGTTTAAAACAAACCAAAGGAAGTTTTTTCTTCTAGCAGGGCACAGTCAACCTGTGGAACTCCTTGCTAGAGGATGTTGTGCAGACCAGGACATTAACAGGGTTCAGAAAAGAGCTAGATAAATTCATGAAGGATAGGTCCATCAATGGCTATGAACCAAGATGAGTGGGGAGGGTGTCCCTAGCCTCTGTTTGGCAGAAACTGGAAATGGGTGACAAGGGAGGGATCACTGGATGATTCCCTGTTCTTTTCACTCCCTCTGGGGCACCTGGCCACTGTTAGCAGATGAGGGGAGGGCGGCTTTTGGTCTGGCTCAGTGTGGCTGGCCATTCTTCTGCTCTTAGAACTAGATCAGGGAGAGAGAGAGACACACACACACACCCCACACGTGGCTTTGGGGCCCTTGGAGCGGAGTTTCCCAAGTGCCAGGCTTTGATCTAGGGGTTGGGGTGAGTGGCCCCACTGTCCCAGAGAGGGGAGGCGAAGGAAAGCTTCGGACTCCAGATCAGACAGAGCCCCAGTGAAGGAAGGGAGCGGTGGCATCTGATCCCTTTCCTGCCACTCTGCAGGCATCCGCTTTCATCTCAGTCCCAGATGGGCACAGAGGGGCTTTATCGCCTGCTCAGCCAACTCTTGTCCCCTCCAGTGATGGTAACGTTGGGTTGCCAGCGGGTCCCACTGCAGGGTATTCAGCAGAGCCCTTCTTCCTAGTATAATACACCAGGGAGTTTATTTATACACCTGCACAATAGCAGTTCCAGGGTCAGTATCAACTATGTTTCCCGGTCAATGTCCGTTCCTCTCCTTGGAGAGAGGCCATATTCTAAGGGCCTGATCCAAAACCCAGGGACATCGTTTGCATTGATTTCGGAGGGGCAGGGATCAGACCCTGGAAGGGGATTACTGTATTCCAACTGGTTTAAAGCTGAGAGCGTAGCGAGAGTTTCCTTGACCAGGCAGAAGCAAGTGGCAGTTGGCCTGTTTGATGTAAATCTATAGGAGAGGGGAATCGGTGTATTCAGGGAACACAGCAGAGCTTTGGAGGTGCCAGAAAATTCTCAAACGAGCGATTCCACCGGAAACTGATGGGAATATTTGTGTGTGTCTCAGCTCCGAGCTGAACAATGGATTTTGGGGAGCAGTGGGAATCTGTTTGAAGGTGGCTGCTTGCTTCTGGCTTGCATGGTCCTCTGATTGGGTGTGTGGGGAAAGGACATTCCGGAGGTCAAGACTGCTTGGAAGGAAGCATATAAAACTCTAGCTGTAGATATAAAGATTTCTATGCAGCACTGAGAATTCAGGGCTATGAAATGATGCTCTATTATTGCCAAGATGTTTGGCAGCCAGAAAGTAAGGTGACAAGTTCTGGTTCTTCACAACCCTTACTGGGGTCTTCAAGATGGAAGACATGTAATTAGCAGGCTCAGTGCAGCTGTCCTATCTGGGTGTATGTGTGTGTGAGTAGGAAATGCACACATACACTCAGTTAACACTTGTCCCATTCTTTCTCAAGGCTCTGGCCCTTTAATCCAACACCCCAGGGGTGATGTTTTTGGTGCCGTCACTAAAGCTAAGGCCAAAGGTCAAAGCACATCTATCTCCTATTGCTTAAATATTTGATTTTCTGCTCAGAAGTTGTAGTCAAGCAGTAAAGTAAAATAAGGTGCTTATACTCATCGCTCAAACAATTTTCATCGCTAGCCAATATATCCCTTTGATAACTGACCTTACACTTCTGATCATAGACATTAATTAACTAGTTGACTAAGATCTTTGTTGCCTTTGAACAATAATCCCAGGTCTCGCTTTGCATGACACGACGTATGTCCTGGGGGGGGGGTCTGAACTTTAGTTTGCTAAACTTGGAAACAGCTGGTTCATAATGCTGTTTATCATGATGGTTGTACTTCATTTTAAAAGCAGAGAAATTAACTAGATAAATTCCGCAAAAAGCCAGGCGGTGTCCTGTAGCACCTTAAAAGACTAACCAATTTATTTGGACATCAGCTTTCATGGGTACAAACCACTTTGTCAAATGTGTTTGTCCCTCAAAAGCTAATGCCCAAATAAATCTAGTTTTAAATTGCCGCAGGACTCCTCCTTGGTTTTGCAGATACAGACTAAAACAGCAACCCCCCCTAAACCTATTTCAAGGGCACATCTCTCATTGATTTCCCAAGGGCAGCACCCGCCCCATGTGAAGGGCCAGGAGCTCAGCAAACGTAAAGCAGAGTAGATCCACGGACTTAAAAGGAGCCACAGCTGTTTACACCAGTTGAGAACGTGGATCTAAATTTCTACCCTTCATTCAATCCCTTTCCTGGAAGATCCCCGAAAGCCCAGCCTTTAACTCGGATTACAGTAATACCAAAACAATAATCAATGTGTCTGCATGCGCTCTGTGCGTGTGTTGTTTACAAATATTAAATACCTTTCCCTCCCATGTATGGTGTGAGCTAACTCTGTCTTCTCTGGAGACTCCCTCTGACGTCTGTGAGAATTTGGAGGGTGTAGAATTCATTCCTGTGT